GTTTGCTGGTAACACCTTTTTTCTTTCTTAAACTATGTTTCTATTCTGTTAACCCTAATCATTGGGAACAATAAACTGAATGAAAAAAAAAAAAAAAAAAAAAGAAAATAATCAAGTGACATTGTCGCATCTACATTTTTCGATTTTTGTTGTGCACATAATCGAGACTAGATAAGCATGACAAGGTAAGATATGAAGAAAATATAAGTGTGCCAATTAGATTTTGAATGTCAATGTCGGATATGGTTCAATTATTGAAGTGTCACGTATGAATGTCTATAATGATCGATAAGTATTCATCCATAAGATAAATTAGACTACATTTTATCGTAATTATTTTAAAAAAAACTGCATAACTCTTTACTTATTTTAATCGGTAAAATATTACCAGAAAATAATTATCGGATTGTAATTGGTAGCACCTGTCGTCTGAAAATATATGGAATGCACGTCCTGTTATGCCAAAAGAATGGACGCTCTTTTCTACAGTTGCAACAGATATTTCAGCTAATAAGAATTGAAATTAATATATTATTGATTTTGATGTTGCAGATGTTCGACGATGGAAGTTCATTTGAAATAGATAACATCAAGTATGGACACACGAATTGAAATTAAATAATAATATTACATAAACGCAAATTATTCTAGTTATATACAAATATTCTTTTATATGTTGACCTTTTACGTCCAACTACGTTGCGACTCATCAATCATAATCGATCAATAGCTGTCAACTTTGTCACAGTTAAAACATGGCAATGTGATTTCTATCGTAATAGTTGTCCTTCTTTAATTATACATTTATTAATGAGTATTTGTCTTTTGTTTATAAAAGAATTCTTTTGGAAATAGAAAATATTTTTAAATAAATCAATTTCTGGTTCAAAAACACAACTTATTTATATCTTTTTCTGTTAAATATGTCTTTGAATGAATATTTAAATGTATTTTCTTAAGTTTCGAAGATAAATTCTTAAATTTTGTTAATCGAATTTTTTCATCTGGTTGAAAAAACACATAAATAACAAATTTGTTTTTCTTCTTGTAATCATCGAAACAAGATCATCACACACAAGACCAAAAACAAAACGAGAAAAAAAGAAATGGTAGAAAAGACAAAGGTATTTCATCATCATCATAGAGAGCCTTTTTTAACGAGATAAACACAACAAACAAAACGCCATCGTTGATAAACTGTCGTTCAACTAGGAGAAAAAAAACCATGCAAACATAAATAACTGAATTATTGTTGTTGAGATGGTGGAGCCGAACGAGTTTGTTGATGTTGATCATTATTTGTTTGATATTGAGTAGGTTTTTGATATTCATTAGTATTATTATGATAACCACGGTTACCAGGACGATAATTACCTCCTCCACGATTACCTTTAACAAATTTCTAAATCAATCGAGCGGATTCGATATTATATCTTACCACGATAATATTGATTAGATCCATTTCTAGCTCGATTATTTTCATTATATTGTCGTTGGCCACTACCATGAGAATTATCATATCGAACACCACCTTCAAATAATCAAATAATATATTGTCTTTTTTTTTTAAACAAATCAGGATTTCGATAATTATCTTTTGCAAAAAGACTTATTTCATTTTAATGATATTTTTCATCATGCTTTGCTCATCTCTAATCCAGTGTGATGGCTCACTAGGAAAGTTCTTGAATTAATAAATCGATTATCAGTCGAGACTATATACATTATGTAGATGCATATGAACTATGAAGACCTTGAAAAGAGTTCGTGCCCCTAACTTATTGCTGTGGAGATACTTTAATCTTACGATAGTTTTTAAATAAATGCCATGATCTCCTCGGCAAAATCAGAAAAGTTGGTTCTCGAGTTTTAACTTGAAACCTTCCATAGCGATAAATCTTAACGAAAATAGTTTTTTTTCGAATGTTTCAGATTTTGTTGCCGTTCCTATCCTAAGATACAACTATGATAATAGCGTATCTTTTATATCATTCATATTAAACTCTTCTCGTGAAGATCAATCTCTATATAAGATTTCAAGTCGAAATTCAAAGATCAGTTTTTCGGTGTTCCTGAAACAAAATCACAACAATCATTGAAAATATTCCGTAAAAATGTAGCATCTCCGCAGAAATAAGCTAAGGGCATGAACTATTATCAGGGTATTGATAACTCATTTGAACCTACATAATGAATATAGTCTCGACTGAAAAGCAATTTATCAGTTGAAAGACTTTCATCGTGAGAGCGCAGCGCCTCTCCGAGGATCCAGTTGACCCTCTTGGATTTTGAAGTTAATGTGGCATGTACTATATTTCTTTGTTTCTAAAGATAAGTGTTCGCTTTCTCGGAGTTTGACGTTGTCTTTTCGAAATAATAAAAAAAGAAGAAACCTCGGCAGAAGACTGTTCTAATCATTGGAGAGAAGATTTTTTCAAAAGAATTTTTCTATAATATTTCAACGAAAAATCGTTGTTGTTGTGTTTCGCCTATAGAAAATAATTTCAAATCTAACTTGAAAATTTGCTAAATTGTTAATGAAAAGTAAAATGAAAAATGAAATTACGTGGTCCTCTCCATTGTTGACTAAAATGATTCGGTCCACCACGATGATAATTTTTGTTTCCAGTTTCATTATGAAATTGTCCCATTCTTTGCGTAGTTTCATTGCTTCCTTGATGTTGCCATTGTTCATCTGATTGATGCTGTTCATCATTTGAAGTAACAACATTTGTTGATTCTTCTTCTTGTTGATTTATGATTGATGATGACGATTGATCATTAATATCTATAAAAATAAATCAATAAGAATAATTAAAATATTACAAAAAAAAGAAAAGAAATGTTACTTGAATTAACAACAGTAAATGTTTGTAAATATTGATTTGGATCAGGCGATTGATCTCGGTTATTGTCTTGTATTTGTTGATTATTTAAATCAATAGGAAAGAAAGGACTATCTTGTATAATTTGTTCAAGTGGAATATTTTGATTTCTTGTATCAAATTGCAATGGATATTCATTTATATTTTTATTAGATGATTGAATATCATCTGTTTCGTTTATTTGTTTAATTTGTTCTTCTTCTTTAATAGGTACACAAGATGAAACAGAATTTGTTTGATTATCAAGATTTTTTATTAATTCTTCAAGGATTTCTCGTACTTCTTGTGGATTTTTTCCTGTAAGAGGTTTTATTGTTGATGATGGACCAGCTTGATAAATTGATAAAACAGTATCAACTGAACGAGTTATTGAATTTAATGAATTATCTGATGGGATTATACTAGAAGATAATTCATCTAATAATGATGATTCTTCTGGTTTTAATGACTAAAATTAAAATTAAAAAAAAAGCAAAAAAAATATTTTTTGGAAATAAAGTTATTATTTACGGATGGTCGATGATCAAACAAATATCGAATTTTTGCATATTCACGCAAACGTTCCGAGACTAATAAACGTTTTTCTTCAGCTGCTTGTTTTGAAAGACGTTTTTGATTTCTTGATGACTAAGATTAGATTTTTTTTCAAAAATGAGATTTAAAATAAAAATAAATGAAAATAAAAAACCTCCGTTTGAATTTTTTTAAATTGTTCACTAAGCTCCTTAACACATTCAATTTGGCCAAGAACTTCAGGATATTTTGCCAATGCATCTTTTTGATCTTTATTTAATTCTTTACCATCTTTTGCTTCCTTTTGATAACTTTCCAATTTCTCCTGAAGAAAAAAAAGAAACGAATATTAAATATTTTAGAAAAAAAAATTTTCTAATAGAAATAACTTTTCGTTTTCCTAGATTTCGTTGTTTTTTTTCTAAAACAAGCATAGCTTGTGTTAATGGATCAGCATTATTTGGATCCATTGATGTTGCTGATTGTGTTGGTGGTGGTGTAGATTTTCCATGAATATTTGATGATGTTTGTTGTTGTTGTTGTTGTTGTTGTAAATCAGTAACAGAAGGCATTCTCATCAATTTCAATTTATGTGGATGATCAAGTCAAAAACAAAAAAAAACAATTTTTTTAGTTTTTATTTTTCAAAAATAAAATAAAAATCTAAAAAACATGACGCATTTACACGAAGAATTGCGTCGAATAAATGAAAGAAAAAAGAAGTAAATATTGTCCTTACATGGATTCTTATAGAAACTTCAAGGGAAACTGAGGAGGCCAATCCATAAGGACAAATCTATGGTCGGTTTTTTTTTACGTAGTTTAAATTCATTTTATTTATTTATATTTATATTTATACAAGTTTGTATTCGATTACTTTATTTTATATTAACAATAGAATAGATCTAACATACTAACTTCATTAACAGATGTCCTTATATGTCGGCTTAAATAAAATCACTTCGATAATAATAAGATAAAACTTCGTCCGCTGTACAATCCATTCGAGATTCTTTGCAAGTTTTCTTTTTCTTCTGACTACACAAATAAATTATTGGACAAAATTCAGTGTTATCTGAAAAATAACAATCAATATTTGATGCAGTAAAAGTGATATATTTATGATTTTCATCATTGTAGGAAAAAACAAGTTATTAAACAATATATTTGTTTTGAGAATACAGATTTCTTAGTCTTCTTTATACTCACATGGATATACAACACTGGATATAAGGCAACAAAAAGAAATATATATAAAATTTAGTTTTTAATCATACGAATATAAAACAAAGGTGTTGATGAATAACGTTATTTTTTGCTTTCCTGATTTTGAAACGATGAGTTTTATTCTGATTATCATCACATATCAAAAGTCTACGTTTGCCTTATCTTATTCAAATATTTTCTAAGTATTTTTGTTGTGAAGCATGTAAGCTTTTATTATAAAGAAAAAGATAAAAAGAGACAATATGATAAACTTTATGCTACATCATAACAACAGGAATAATACAACAAAAAAACCCATACTGCAAGTCCGTTGATCTATGATAGTCTTCATTTCAAATGATGTATGAATTGCATATCTTATCAATTTTTTCCAGTTCAATGATCATTATTTACGAAAAAACAAGATAAGTTAGAAAATTTTGCTCTAGCTTTTTTTTATGTGCTATAAATGGAGTCCTGCAGGATATAGATAATATCTTATGTTTTGACAATGCAGGCAGATTCAGATTACAAAAACTTTTTCAAAGCACGTTGGTAGAGTACAAATATCTTAATCTGTTAACCTCTTTAATTATTATTTTGAAATAGAAAATAAATTTCATGAACATTATAAAAAAACAAGTGGCATATTAATGATCAATTTTTTTATAAACATAAAAATCCAGTTGTATAGTACGAAAAAAATTGGTTTTGAAAATAAGTTATTTTAGACATTTGCCTAATACCTTGCGTAAAGCCTCTTCATATCTAGATACACGTATATAGATATCTTGATTTAGGTGTTCGATATGATTTATCAACAAAAATATAATTATAAGATCTACTTAGGGCAATTCAAAAGTAGTGGGAGCAGTACTGTTGTAATTCCCTTATAAAAAGCATTAAGAAACCTTCTCTCTATATAGTTTGATAGAGAAAAAAATCTTCTATTTTTTTTATCCTATTTGATCTGACTTCAACTAATATCATTATAATAAACTTTCGATAAGATTTGTTTCTCTATTATATGCGCTGCTAAAAGTACTGCATATTTAGAAGATATTTTTTGAATAACTTTTGATAAAAATAAGATAGAAAACTACGGTTTTCATCATTCGAAAGAACAGATGAAGATACATCGATTCATATATTATAGATTTTTGTTTAACATGATTTTCTAAACGTTGTCAATTAACCTCTTTGAAAACAAACCAATTCGTGAGATGTTTATAGTGAATTCTCAATTGTCAGGTGTGTATTGAAAGCGCTCATTTAAGATCTACAAACCGCAACAGATTCAGAGGTTTAACGTCAATCATTCAGAAGCTATAGGTATCATAGTCGAAATTTTAAATGATTTTTTTGGTAATTTCTATGAAAAAAGTTTTTGTTGTTTCCTTTTTGATAGGAAACCGTTTTTCCTCATACTTACGAGGGAACATTTCCAAGTTTTTCGCTCCTTTCGCCTTCATATTTTGCCTATATGTAGGGCCTATTATGCTAAGAAAAAGCCTAAGTGAATTTGTGTCCTTATTGCTTCTTTCAAAAGTTATGATCATTTTACTGATTTTCGACCCATTTCTAGATGTTTACCGAAAAAATAAAATTTCGGAATTTCAACCTAAAATTTTGCCCATAGATAGGTTTAATGATCCTTAGAATATCCTGAAAGTTTCAGCCAAAAAGAATTTTTCTTTCTCGAGATAATGATTTTTCAAAAAACAGTCGCTGGCCACAGATAGGCCACAAAAACTGAGTTCATTTGAAAAATCAATATCCCGAGAAAGAAAAGTTCT